AAGCAGAACTCCCAACTGTCCCCAATTTGGAGGAACTGTCCACCTTTTAGAACCATATCCCTCAATCCCTCTTTCCTCTCCAGTTGTCCCTCTTTATTGCTCTGATGTGTAGACAGGGCTGGATTTACATCTCAGGAGCCTATAGGTAGAGAATTCTAGAAGCGCTCCCCTCTCCCCCCCCCAAAAAAGACAAAGACCGACTATTTTTTCTTAATAAATATTTTTATTTAAATATTTTTCGATGTGTAAAGGGGAATGCTGCAGACTTTGTTGTAAAGGAGAACACTGTGGACTGTGATGTAAAGGGGAACTCTGATGTAAGGGGGTCTCTGGTCACTAGAGCCCACCCTTACACAAGATTCCTCAGAGTTCCCCTTACATCAGTGTCCTCAGAGCTCTTTTTTACATCAAAATCTGCAGGGTTCCCTCCTTACAGTGCAAGTGCTCTTTAAGAAAGAGCCTGGTCACTGATTGGTTGAAGGGCCAGATTGACTAATTGGCTTCATGCCAACATTCTCATTAAGGGGAGAAAATTCTGTGCTGGAACAGGGCCCTAACTTCTATCTGCCAACTGATACTCTACTTTATTTCCAACATTACAGATTCTTTGATAGCACCACTGTAGACAAGGGAAACACACGCTCTTCACTACATCCTAATCTCCGTCACAAACACCCTTTCTCTTAATTAGCAGAAGATTTCCTCCCAGTCATAGAACACAATCCCAGTTTCTATTCAGTGATGTTAGGCATGGGGCAATCTACAAAAGCATGCCTTCTAAGTCATTGAATGGGAAATTCAATATCAGGGTTTATAACATGGGTATTCATTGAAATGTCCCCCTCTGTTGTGTGTTTCAGGTCATACGGAATGTGTGGAATCTCTGGTGAATTCTGGAGTTAGTATACAGCAATACATAAAGCATCTGGGCTCTCCACTTTATGTGGCCTGTGAGAATCAGAAAGTGGACACCGTTAAAAAGCTTCTTGAGATGGGTATGGAATCATTATTATTATTATAATACAGGATTTATATAGCGGCAACAGTTTACGCAGCGCTTTACAATATAAGGAAGATATTACAATACATTTCAGTACAGAAGGAATCAGAGGGCCCTGCTCATGGAGCTTACAATCTAAAAGTAGGGGGAGGTGGTACAAAAGGTGATAGTTGCAGGCAATGTTCTGATGGAGGTGGCTCAAGTACATTTCTTAGGTGGAGGTGGGTAGGTTTCCCTGAATAAGTGAGTTTTCAAAGATTGCCTAAAGGCTGGCAGGGTGGGGTCTGACTGGACATATTGCAGTAGGGAGTTCCAGAGCATGGGAGAGGCCAATGAAGGGATTGTCAGAGAGCGGCAACGGTCACTGATCAGTTGGTAAGGTGTGTGAGTCTAGCAGCAGCATTCATAATAGACTGAAGGGGGGATAACCTGTGTAATGGTAGACCAGTGAGGAGGGAGTTGCAGTAATCAAGGCGGGATAAAACCAAGGTGTAGATAACTTGTTTTGTGGTGTCATTGTTCAGAAAGAGGCAGATTTTGGAAATGTTCCAGAGGTTGAGGCAGGATTTAGCCAGTGATTGGATGTGCGCCCAAAGGAGAGGTCAGAGTTTTTAGGATTACACCTAGCACTCTGGCATGAGGGGAAGGAACAATGGTGCTGATCATCTTAACGGTAAAGTCATGAGTGGGGGATTGGGGGGAGGAGGAAATATTACAAGCTGAGTTTTGGAAAAATTGAGTTTAACGTAGTGGTGTGACATCCATGCTGATATGTCACTTAGTAGATTTGTGACACATGAGGAGATTGAGGGGGAGAGCTGGGGAGTGGAGAGATAGATCTGGGTTTCATCAGCATAGAGGTGGTATTGGAAGCCATGGGAGGTTACCAATTGGCCAAGGGAGGAAGTGTAGAAAGAGAAAAGGAGGGGCCAAAGGACAGAGCCTTGGGGTACCCCAATGGAAAGAGGCAGAGGAGCAGGAGTTGTATGTGATGCTGAAAGTGTGCTGAGTAAGGTAAGAGGAGAACCAAGAGAGAGCAGAGTCACGGAGGCCAATGGAGTGGAGTTTACTGAGGAGGAGCGGGTGGTCGACTGTACCAATGGCCATTGATTTTAGCATTTAGTAGGTCATTAGTGAGTTTTATTAGGGCAGTTTCAGTGGAATGTTGTGGGCAGAAGCCAGACTATAGGGGATCAAGAAGGTTGTTGTCGGTGAGGTAGCAGTTCATACGGTTGTGAACAAGGTGCCCGAGAAGCTTTGAGGTAAATGGTTAGCAGGGAAATGGGTCTTAAGTTATTCAAACAGGTGGGGTCCAGTGAGGGTTTTTTAAGTATGGGGAGTAACCAGTGCATGTTTGAGCGGGGAGGGAAAGGTGCCCATGGGGAGCGCGAGAGGTTGAAGATGTGGGTTAGAGAGTTTAGGATAGAGCAGGAAGGAGGCTGCAATAATCTTGAGGGGACAGGATCCAGGTGACAGGTGGTGAAGTGAGCCTTGGAAAGGAGTTCGGTAACTTCCTTGGTGGTAACAGGGTCGAAGAAGGAGAGTGTTGAGCGTGGTGTTGGGCCTGGTATGTTGGTTGGAGGAGGAAGCTTGACACTGGAGATCTCATTGCGAATTGTGTCGATCTTGATCATGAATACAAACATCCCTCTTTTCCACTGAAATTGAAATTATTTCAAATATAATCTGTTTTATCCACTAGGAGCAAGTGCAAATATTGGTAAAGATCTGGACACTCCGCTACATGCTGCCGCAAGAAATGGCAATGCCAATTTAGTGAACCTACTTATTGACTATGGAGGAAGCACACAGAGCAAAAACACGGATGGAAAACGACCCTCGGAGCTCATCCCTTCACATAGCTCATTGAAGGAGATCTTTTTAGAAAGAGAAGGTAGACTTTAATCCAAAGTTCACGAGGACCTGTAGCAATAACAATTTGAAAGTTTCAGAAGAAGATATTACCTATAGGAGGTTAAATACCAATTCATTTTGATGGTACTAAAAGAAAATAGTAGCAAAACTTGTTTTATTGATGACAACAAAATACCTCTGAGATGTGCTATTAGAGCGTAAAGTGTAAGTCCAGCTTTACAAAAAAAAATCACACCATGCTGTTCCAAGTGGGTATAGCAGTGTAGTGTGTTAAACCTACTCTCCAGAAAGGCCTTTCTTTCTGGTTAAACTGTGAAGTCCACAACTGCATTTAGAAGTTTCTTAAAATCCTCTGCAGCCAGCAATGGCCTCATCCTGAGTTATTGAAGGGATGAAGCAGCTGTTGGGACCAGCACCCCCTACTGCCATGGAAGGGAACCCTGTCTTGCGCTTTTGGGATGCACATGGGCATTTTGTATTGTCACCTCTGATGAGCTCAGCTTCTGCTACAGGAGAGAGTACATACTTTGTATATTCACCCCAAAAGAACTGGATGGCACTCTCTCCAATGACACTAGGGGTTGTTGGTCTGAAAGGCTGCTTTGTGCCTACAATAACTTGGGATGGGGCCATTGCTGTGGACTTCATTGTTTAAATAAAAGGAAGCCCTGGCTGGTAAGTAGGTTTTTAACACACTATGCTGAATACCCATATGGGAACAAAGTCTGTTTTTTTTTTTCTATAAAGCTGAACTTATACTTTAAAGCACGGGTGTCAAGCTGGCGGCCCTCCAGCTGCTGCCAAACTACAAGTCCCATGAGGCATTGCAAGACTGACAGTTACAAGCATGACTCCCAAAGGCAAAGGCATGATGGGACTTTCACAACAGCTGGAGGGCTGCCAGTTTGACACCCCTGCTTTAAAGTGTATGTAAACTGTAAATATATTCTTCAGCATGTTTGACATCGTGCCTTATTGTATAGTCTTCCTAAACCCATTGATTTATGAAACTATGTGAAACATTCTTATCTGTCAATCCTACCAGTAACAGCACTTCATATTGCAGGCCGGCAATCCTAGGCCACTTCCTCACAATGAAAAGAAACATTGTCATCCTACTGTGTGGGCTCCTTCAGTTTGGCCATTGGGCGCCTATCTGAAAAAACATACAGGCAGCCCAACCGCTAACTAAAGGTGTGCACATGGGAAGCTGACACTGCTTCTACTAAGTGCAAGGCAGCAGCTTAGCATTGTCAGTCTGTAAGAGAGAGTGTTGTAACTGACAGGATCTCCAGGTAAGAAACTTTGCAACAGATTGAGAGAAATGGTATACAGTGGGGCATTATGCCAAACATGCTGGAAAATAGCCTCTGGGTTCACATACACTTGAATGAATTTAGATGCACTGTGTCTCAACCTGTAAGTGACCTTCTTGGTAGAGGCAGGACGCTTTCCCTGATGTATGTGAGCCTCCAGTAAGTAGAACAGCATGCTGCATAGTAATGACTCACCAAATCTCCTGAAGCTAGTAGCCAGAGGCAGCAGTGCCTTAGATCTCACACTGCAGATATACAGTAACAAGTCTTTAGGCACCATCATATACCAGGATGTGTACTGCTATTCTCACAAGAAATTCAAGACATTTCAGAGTACTGCTTAGGCACAATTAACAAATCTAGATTTTCTCTATAATATAGCAAAACTCTACTTTTTACATTCCAGTCCACCTTAAAGTGGAACTTCACTGTATCTGAGCACCACAAACCAAAAGCACTATGTAAATAATTTTTAATATTCAAAGCAAAGTCACCCATCCATCCATGTCTCATGCCTTATTTTGCTGAGAAATCACTTAGAAAATCACTCCCTAGTATTTCTAGCTGTGAAAATCTTGAGTAAGGGCAGAAGTCATGTAGAATTTACTTCCTGGGATCCATCTTCCCTTAGCTCAGGCATGCAGACAGGAGGTTGTGATTAGCTGAGAAAACCCCATCTCCCCTCATGAAGACTCCTGGGATGACATCATTTGCCTAGGCATGGAAATTAGGAAGGACTTAAGAAATGTTAAAAACAGTTTGAAACAAATAAATATGATATACTTTACTATATATTTACTAAAGTGTTACTAAACCCACAACAGTAAAATCAGTCTGTATATGCAGTAAAGCATGCTTGTTATACTCACTGTGGAACCTAAGGGGTTAATTCTTAGCATTGTGTAAAAATGCGGTTTGATCCTCTCATTTTTCCAGTGCCCCCCCTCTTATCTCCTTATAAGACTTATGTATGGAGACAGTCTGCACATGCTCAGTTTGGTGTGTATTGCTGGAGAGGTTTTTTTTTTTCTCTTGGGAGAGTGCATGTGATCAGCACAGGGCCAATCAGCACTGTCCAGACAGAGGTCAGGGGTTCTGCATCCTCCTAGAGCAGAAAGAAAACTCCTTCTACAAGCTTTAACCACTTGACCTCCAGAGGATTTACCCCCCTTAATGACCAGGCCTCTTTTTGCTACTCTACGCTGCACTAATTCAACTGATAATTGCGGTCATGCAATGCTGCACCCAAACGAAATTTACGTCCTTTTTTCACGCAAATAGAGCTTTCTTTCGGTGTAATTTGATCACCTGTGCACTTTTTATTTTTTCACGCTATAAACAAAAAAAGGCCAAAAATTTTGAAGAAAAACAATATTTTTTACTTTCAGCTATAAAAAAATATATAGTAAACTCAAAGTTGGTTATAAATTTAGGCCAAAATGTATTCTGCTCCATGTTTTTGGTTAAAAAAATCCCAATAAGTGTATATTGATTGCTTTGTGTGGAAAGTTATAGCGTCTACAAACTATGGTATAAATACTGCAATTTTACACCATTTTTCTGCTATACAGCGCTGCGCTAGTTTAACGGACAATTGCGCGGTCATGCAATACGGTACATAAATGAAATTTACATCCTTTTTTTCCCCACAAATTGAGCTTTCTTTCGGTGGTATTTGATCGCCTGTGCGGTTTTTATTTTTTGCACTATAAAAAAAAAGGCTGACAATTTTGAGGAAAAAAAAAACAATATTTTGGACTTTTTGCTATAAAACATGTCCAGTAAAAATAAATGCAAAAATCAAATTTAGTCATAAATTTCTGCCAAAATGCATTCTGTGACATGTCTTTTCTAAAAAAAAAACCCCAATACGTGTAAATTCAATTGGTTTACGTGAAAGTTATAGCGTTTACAAATGGCGGGCAAGATACTGGGATTTTTTAGTTTTTTTTTTATATACTAATAATGGCAGCAATCAGCGAATTATGGTGGTGATCAGGGACTTATGGCAGCGACCAGCGACTTATGGCAGGACTGCGGCGGACATTCTGACATTGGGGGGTACTGACTTGGGGTCACTGACATCCCCAAAAACACTAATACAGTGATCAGTGCAAAAAAAAAAAAACACTGACACTGTACTAATGGCAATGGGGAGGAAGGGGTTAACTTTATTTTGCAGGGAAGGGTTATAGGAGTGAGGGGAGTGTTTTACTAGGGGGCGGGGGTGTGTACTGGACAGGACAAGGCTGATTGAGAAAGAGAAACTGTTTTTTCTTGATCAGCTCATCCTCGAGCTGACAGGGAAGTGACAGACAGCACAGCTACTGCAGCTGTGCTGTCTGTCACTGTTTGCTGCCGATCGCTGGGAGATAGCCGCTAAGGACCGGCTGTGACCCTGCGACTCACATTTGCGGCGGTGATCGGTGGGACAGATAGGGCGGCGGCGCGCCTTGCGCGCCCCCTAGCTGTTTACAAAACACATGTTTTAAAACGTGGTTTTGCCTGCCAGTGCCACCCTGCCGCCGTATATCTACAGTGGCAGGCGGCAAGTGGTTAACCAGTGCTCTGCTGGAACACTGATAGAAGTCACAAGACTGCTCTAACTGCTGATGAGAAAAGGTATTTAGCAGTTTATATTTACTAAAATAATTGTATTTCCATGTTCTGTGTACTGTGGGAGACCAGATATAGTGAATGCAGGGCCCTGGGTTTAGTAACACTTAATGCTAGCAGCATAAGGATTCAAACTAATCAATGTTCATTGAGAGAGTGACGTTCTGGTTTAAGAGTTGTGTAAATAATGAGAACCTGGGTTCCAAGTAGAACAACTATCTTTGTCTGCAATGTTTACCCTCTGCCATTCATACTTCTATATGTATATTAAAAAGGATTTCTTTGCTGAATATTGCTATGGTCGATTCGTGCAGATTGTACTGTAACACATATTACATACCAGATTCTTGTGCTATTTGTGTTTCTTCATTTGTTTGCTGTGCTTATCCTCTAAACATCTGTGGAATTCTTTTTCCCAGGTCCGCTGACTTTGAAGCAGATTTGTCGTCTATGTATTAGAAAGTGCTTTGGACAAAAACAGCACCATAAAATATGTCATCTTCTCCTTCCTGAAACACTAAAGCAATTCCTTTTACACAGATAAATTACAATCTTGAGTTATAGTTTTTATAGTGTATAGTTTGTAACTCATATTGGTAAACTATGAACTGGAACTGACTTGAACAATTTTAATAAACCTGCTGTATTTTTATTTTATAAATATGTGTTGAGTTTTTGTTTGTTTGTTTTTATATGAGAACACATATCTTATAGACTCAATCAGGTTCCATAAATTAAAAGTATAAGAAATGTGTAAGAAATGTAAAAGGGAAACTATAGTATACTGGTATATGGTTTACACATTTTATATGTTGTTTTGTTTGTTGGTATAAAAAACCCTTGATACTGATTTAGCAAAACATTCTTGGATTTCTAAGGCTAGGTTCACACCTATGCAGTTTGCATTTGACCCGTTTCTGCATTGCGTTTTTTGTACCTGTGTTTTTTTTACGCATTTTGCAGCATTTTTAAAGCGTTTTTTTTTTCTTGTTGGTAGGCAGAATTAAATCGTAAAAGGCATCAAAAATGTGGCAAAAACACACTACATGCTTTTCTGCAGCGTTTCTACTGAAGTCAATAAAACCAAAAGTGCAACTTTTTGTGTTCAAAAAAGTCCCTGATCCTTTCCAAAAAATGCACCGGGTGAAAACACGGAGATGTGAACGTGTTCCATAGGAAATCATGTTAAATGGACTGTAGTGCGTTTCTGCAAAATGCTGCGGAAAACACTTAGGTGCAGGGGCGGACTGACCATTTGGAAACTCGGGCACTGCCCGAGGGCCCGGGGTCAGTAGGGGGCCCCATGAGATGCCCCTGGTACCTTTTTCATAGGCTTTTTTGAGTTTGGGCAAGGACACAGGGGCCCCATGATCCCCTATTGCCCGGGGGCCCCATGAGTTGTCAGTCCGCCCCTGCTTAGGTGTGAACCTAGAGTAAAGGTAAAGCCAAGCACTAGGCACTCATCTGGTGACTGTCTCAGTTTAACTGAAAATCCAGCTGGGACAGAGAAGAGATCAAAGATAGTGTGTTATAAAAAAATATGAAAAGATTTTGTATTTTTTAAACCTGAACATAATTAATACATTAGGATAAAAAAAAATCATGATACATTAAAAGGTAAGGTCACCTTTTCACAAAATCCCTGCTGTACTTACTGCTTGGATGATTATCTTTCACTGCCCATGCTAACTGCTGCAGTGGTCTGGGCATTTGAAAGCCGCACTGCACTGTGCCATCTTTTCTTCTGTCAGAGCAATTCTTAGTAGTCAGCAAGTGTTTGTGCTGCCTAATGCCCGTTCACCATTGCATGCATTATGGTGCTACAGAGCCTCTGGACTGTGTACTGCATTTTCCAGATGCCCTCACTGCTACACCAGCATGAGCAGCAGAAGATAATCAAGAAAGGGAATAAGTGAGGCGGGGTCCGGGGGGCGGGGGGAGGGGCGAGGAGTTAATTCACCTTTTTTTTTTTGTAAAAAGGTGAACTAACCCGTTAAAAAAAGATGTCAGTATCCTTTATTTGTGTCTGCCTCCTGCCACCGCTCAATGCCCTACTCTCCTACTCTCCCTCCTACAGGCATTCAATGGACAGATCAGTTAGTCTATATGCCAACCCGTGGTCCGTCCTATCCATCTTCTTTCTGCTGCCCCCAGGCCCCTTTCCTCTCTCCTGGTTCCCCTGTTCTCTCTCCTGGCCCCTTTGTACTCTCTCCCAGCCTCCCCCTTCCCCACAGCATTGCAGGCTTCACCCTCCATCCGGCTGCTGTGGGGGTTCTGTCAGGATGGAGAGTGGGGAAGGCACCGGTATATATGTCACCACCAAAGCCCCCCAACAGGGCTCCTAAAGAAAGGTGAAAAAAAATTGTAAAAATAATAAATAAAATAGAATGGTAAAAAATTATTAAAAAATAAAATAAAAAAACTACTGACATTGGTGGAGGATCTACCAGGGTTTCAAAGGTCGCACTTGCAACCGAGCCCTGACGTTCCGCTACCGGGCTCCAAGGCAAGGGCCCCAAGCTCAGGGCTAAAATGTGTGGGCCTATATTTTCCCAATATGGGCCTGCAACAAAGTATGTAAACTAAGAATATTTGAGAGTGCCAATGCTTTTAAGTGTCTATGTTTATTATAGTTACATAGTTTGTATGGTTGAAAATAGACACAGGTCCATTCAGTTCAACCTATGTATGTACATTATGTGTGATTGTTAAACTCTAACAATTCCCATAGCCCTGTATATCTTTTGTGGACCAGAAAGTATCTGGTACGTTGCTGGTTTTCGGTTGTTATACCAGAGTGATACAGCTGCAGGCATCAGCCCAGTTGGCTCTCTTGTACAAGCAATCTGAGTGGCTATATCATGTACCGGGTAGCAGAGCCTGATATGATGAGGAAGGCCTCTCTTACACCTCTGACTCGGGGCCTCTGGTAGTGTTAACAGAAGGTGCAGGAGTGCTGAGTGGCACAAGTGTTTGTAAGTCTTGATAGAGGCAGAGCAGGTGTCCATGCTGGGCAGGTGAAGTCGTCAGGGGTCTTCAGTAAGGCAGGCAGACTGGCAGGCAGCTGGGCAGCAGACTAAAGGAGACTGATACTGGTGAGCGGGCAGATGAGACAGTGTCTGGTAGCAGATAGTAGATCGGCAAGATCAGCAGAGTGGTAGGGCAGTTACCAGTGGTGGGAGCCAAGTAGGAGAGTTAGACAGACTGGGTCATACACCATCAGGATGGATCAGGTATAGGGCGCAGGCAGAAGTGTGGTCTAGGTACAAGCTGGGTCTGAAAGCCGATCAGTGGATCAGAAGCCAATGGAACAGACAGAAGCTAAGGCCAGAGGACAAGCCAAGGTCAGTGCAGGCAGAGTTCAGGGGGTAGTCAGGACAATCCAGGTCAGCAATGGAAATCAGGATACAAAATCACAGGAACACAGCATGCACAAGAGGCTGAAGACAAAGCAGCACTGATCCAGAGTACTAGCCCAATTTTAAATAGGCCATTTGGCGCCATCATCTGTCACAAGTGCATGTGTGCACCTGCGCTCATGAATATTTGCACGGGTATGTGCACCAATGTGCGCGTGCATATACGCATGCACATTAGCATGTGCCCAATTTCGGCGAGCATGAGAAGGATTAGCTTTTGCACAGAAGTCTGTCCAGAAGAGCAGACTTGTCTATTAGGAAGACCTTCTTTCCTTGTTGTTCTTGTACAAGCAGTGGGAGGGAACGTCTCCCCCTCCCTCCACCTTTTGTGGCTCTCTCGTGATCTCCAGTCAAACCAGTAGACCCAAGCAACCAGCCGGCAAATCTGCCGGGATCAACTTTGATCGGCTCCCCAAACTGGTTGTACAGAAGTCAATCCATTAATCAACTTCAGTACAACAAGCCTGGTGGATTTTTTTGTAGGCGATTACTGGCAATGGCTACATCTGCTAGCAGTACTCATTGTGTTCTGCCAGCAGGCAAGGCTCCCCACTGGCAGAACATAATAGCACTGCGGGAGGAATTCACTGACTGTGTTGATGGGGGAAATAAGCAGTTATCTTTCCTTCCACATGTGGTGAAAGGAAAGAAAATAGTATTATCTGTATCATCTGTATCATTAAGAGGATCTTAAAGACTAGGCTCAGACTATCACGGAGCCTAAACTGTTGTTCAAGTCAGCAGTAAGCCCCCAGCCCCTTGCACTATGTTCAATTCCCACAATTTAAAAAGGAAATCACTTGTGATGCACAAAATAGTGGAAGTACATATGTTCAGTGAAAAAAATGTTGTCACTTGTTACTAAATGAACAAATTCCCTTGTGTATGGCTCCCTTTTTAAAATGCGCTCACAACAATGAACTCAGGGATCTGCAAGGCACATAAATGAAGAGGTGAGGTGCCGAAATAAGCTGGAACGTTTGGTATGTGAAACAAGGCCAGTATGATTTAGTAAATCTTGGTTTGTGAAAGTTGTCCTTTCAGTATGCCTTTCATTTCACCCTAATACATGACTGGACAAATCCCAAGATTGTTTAATTAAATAATCCTGGATTTTTTTCACTAACTAATAAAACCTATGCTGCATAACAGACAGCAGCTGAAAAAATGATTAAAATAACGTTAGTAACCTGCAGCAATGATTTCAATGTTTTCATTCTTTGTTTTAATTTTGTAGGTCAATGTAAAATGTTTCATTGTGAAGCAGTGGTGTTTCAACATGGCATAATTGTTAATTTACACACTGAAACCTTTTATGTAAAAGAGTCAAAATATTGCAAAAGCTGCTAGTATTTTGGATATATGGAGTCAATCTCCTATCTTACTCAAAAAATCAGACAGGGTCCACTGATAAGGTAATCCTCTAAGACCTAGTTTACACTGGATCCAACTTTGAAATCGTACAACTTCACTGCAATTTTTCTGACAGCTCCATGTCAGCCACCTCTGGGTATGTGCTGCCCATACCCCAGGCTATCTCATAAATTTGACCCCCACTGCTCAGGACTGCTTTCCTTTTCTTTCCTCTGTGTGGTCAGGACCTGATGCAGTCTCCTACCTCGTTGGATTAAAGATTTGGCTTGTCCATCCAGTGTGGGTCCTCC